TGTTTCTACAAGGAACTCATATGCTAGGCAGTGAGACAAATAGAATGAAACGTAGATGGCCAGGTCAAATTTCCAATTCTAGGGGCGTTATGATAATGATACACAAATCTATACCTTTTCACGTTGAGCGTGTGCTTAAGGATTGTAATGGACGTTTTTTAATAATACAAGGTAACCTACTATCTACTAGACTAAATTTAATTAATATTTATGGCCCAAATGAAGATAATCCATATTTTTATAGCAATTTATTTCTTAAAATTTCAGATTTACAAGGTAAATGTATAATTGCTGGGGACTTAAATTGTGCTTTGAATTCACAGAAGGATAAATCATCAGGCATGGATAACACTCATAATAGAACACGAAAGGTGATCAAACAATTTATGAAGGAGTTAAATATGATTGACATATGGCGAGATCAAAGTCCAACCAAATTACAATACTCTTGCTGGTCAGGTACACACAAAGTGTATTCCAGAATAGAAAACTTTTTGGTATCAACTGAGTTGGCTCCTTATATAAAAGGTTGCCATTATAAGGAAATAATAATATCTGACCATGCAGCCATTACTTTGACTTTCATAGAGCCAAAACTGATTAAAACTCTAATTGAATGGAGGTTTCAATTGAAGTGGATGCAGGACAAACAGTTTCTTGAGTTTTTAGGCAAGCAAATTAATGAATACTTTGAGCACAATTTAAATCAAACATCGGCAAGTGTGAGATGGGAAGCCTTCAAGGTAGGGATGCAACGATCCCAATTTTTTCAAACCGAACGATACCGATACTTGGATCTGAGTACTTGCCGATACAGAGTACAAAAACCGATACTTCTACCACACACACACACACACACAAATACAATTAACTGGAAGACAGGTTTTGTTATATCCCCTGCCGATAAGATCTTAATAAAAATGACCACAAAAACATTTCAAGTGAAAAATAAGCACTTCTCTTAAATTATTGCAGAGTCTCCTCATTGTAATTTTACAAATATCCCTGAACTATTGGCACTGTCTCGAGCTTTCAGAATAATAAATAAACACTTCTGTTTGGAATAAAATAAATACAAATTAGGTTTGCGAATAAAATAAACTTTTAAATTATTGCAGCGTGTCCATATTGTAAACAAACAAACAAAATAATTATTATAAAATAAATAATAAATAAAATAATAATTGGCCCCCTAGTGGCCAATCTAAAAACTACAACAGAAATGACAAGCCACCCTCTGATTAATGAAATAAGTTGGTATCGGTTCATGGTATCGGTTAACTTTTACGAGTATGTAAGTACTGTATTACAGTATCGGCCCCGATACCCAATACCAGTATCGGTATCGGTGCATCCCTACTTCAAGGCATACTTAAGAGGGCAAATAATAAGCTATACTAGTAAGAAAACAATAGAAAGAAACCAAAAGATAAAATATCTGGAAAATAAAAATAAAAATGATAGAAGAGATCAGCTTTCAATCAGGCCAAAATAAGGAGGACAATGTAAAAGAATTATTACTATTGAGAATGCAATATAATGAAATGACAAGCGAAAAAGCAGCTGCAAATTTATTGAGATTAAAGAAACAATTCTATGACCAAGGTGAAAACCCCAGCAAACTCCTGGCTTGGCGTATAAAACAGCAGGAATCTGAAAAGGCAATTACAAAACTTGAAACTTCAAAGGGAAACATTATAGTAGACCCATTAGAGATAAACAATGCATTTAAAGCGTTTTATGAAATGTTATATAATTCCGAATACAATAATGCAACTAGAATGCAATCTTTATTTCTAGATAAAATTAATATACCAAAAATTTCAGACAAAGACAAAGAAAATGTTGACAGGCAAATTAGTATGCATGAAGTTATTGATGCTATAAACTCTGTAAATGCTGGTAAAACAGTTGGCCAGGGTATAAAGTAAATGTAACAAAATCATCATTAATGTTACATAATCAAGGGTATAATCAAAACACAAGTCAGACTATATCTGGCTTTACTGTTAATTCTGAATTTACTTATCTAGGCATTAAAACAGTTCCTTCACTAAAAGATGTGGTGGTACTTAATTACAATACAATTCTACAGAAAATTTCCAAAGATCTGGAGTGTTGGATACGTTTACCACTATCTATTATTGGAAGGATAAGTGTTCTTAAAATGAATGTATTACCTAAACTCTTGTATATGTTTCAGAATGTCCCACTGGCTCCTCCTGCTGGATTGTTTCCCAAACCAGCGTCATTATTCAGAGTTTATTTGGAACAAGAAGCATCCCCACATTCGCTTGTCTTTGTTGTATCTTCGCTTTGATACAGGGGGGTTGAAATGGCCCAATTTTTACTGGTACTATCTGGCTATTCAACTAAGGACAATAATGTTTTATTTTTCATCCCAAAATACCCCATCTTGGGTGGGAATGGAAGCAAATTCTCTTAAAATGCTATTAAACTTGTACTTATACTCTGCACAGCCAAAACAATTAAAGAAAGAAACAAATAATCCCATAGTCCGAAATATGATTGAAGTTTGGTTTACAATAAAAGAAATGATGAATATTAAGAATAATCTCTCTCAGTTTAGTCCTATTTGGAGAAATGCTTTATTTGTACCAGGAAATTTGGACGCAGGGTTCCAGGGTTGGGCAGAAAAAGGTGTTAGGAAAGTGGGTGATCTTTTTTGTGATGGAATAATGGTCTCATTTGAGGATTTAGTTTCAAAAGTATTTACAGATTAGAAGCTTCATTTCTTCCATGCAAAATCAGTCTCTCAACGTTCCCCAGTTAAGTAATTTAGAGAAGTTAATGGTGGAGAAAGGTGGTAATGAAGGCTTAATTTCAACATTCTATAACTGGATTGTCTCTGCCTCTCCAGAAACATCAGTTTCTAAGTTAGAAGCTTGGAGAAAGGACCTAAATATTAATATTTCTGAGGAGACATGGAAACCAATTTGCTTAAAATCACAAAACAATCGATTAATAGTAACCTAAAGTTATTACAATACAATTGGATCATGCAAACATATGTAACACCGGTGAAATTGAACAAATATAATAACAGAATTCCAGATACATGTTTTAAATGTGGAGAAGCCCGTGGAACATTTTTCCACTGTATATGGGAATGCAGGAGGCGATGAACAAAATAAACCAAATTTTGAATACAAAGATTGCTTTAGATGTAGAAATGTTGCTATTACATGTGTATTCTAAAAGTCTTAAACTAAGAGCTCATCAAATTGAGTTTATGGATTATTGTACATTACAGGCAAAACGTATGATTGCATTAAATTGGAAAAAAATCAGATCCTCCTGCTATTGGTGCTTGGATAAATGCTTTGGCACAGTGTATGGCAATGGAAAGGATAACGTATTTTCTCAAAGACAAGTTAACATATTTTGATGAGATTTGGAAGCCATTTAAAAACTTTATAAAAGAAGTAAACATCGGACAACTCCTGCAGGAGTGTGGATGAGGGGAAAATTGTTTAGTATGTGCTAGCTATTTCTATTGTCTATCTTTTTTCCTTCAATATGTATAAATGTCACATATTGTACGAATATATACATATTCTATGTGTTTTTTATTTGATGTAGGTTTGGAAGAGAGCAGGGTGGGAGGTTCCTATTACTGCAGCATATTACTGGGAAAACAAACCTTTGTATGCTGTTGCAAAAAGCAATAACACATGTTGTTTAAAAAAACTATAAAAACAATTCCCTGCTTATAGGTGGAGTTTTAAACAGTATTTTGTTCAAAGCAAAAGAGAAAGAAAGAATTTGCCTCTGGAGGTCAGGATGACGTGCCACTGAATTATGAAATAAAGAGTTGGGTATTATTCTGAACTCTGTGGCCAAAAATTACCAACCAGTCCTTCATTTAGCATACTTAAAGGTAAATTTGACTTCATGAAAATGGAGTTAAAAAAATAATAAATGAAGTTATGAATTTTAAAGTGTAATAACTTCCAGGTGTTTGTGTAATTCTACTGTAAAATAATATGGCATTAACAGCTGGTTCTTTGCTGCTAGAATGAAAAAAAATTCATGAATGCAGTCCACCAGCTTGTTCTGTTTTCTGAATCGACTTCATTCAGAAGTTCCTCTATCAGCTCCCTTAGTTGTTCTTCGTGTTTTTCCTCCAGAGCTTTCTTTTCCTTTTCATCGGTTACATTCTTCATTTCCTTTTCCTGTTTTCCCAGTAATTTGCTGATTTTTCTCAAACAGTCCCTTCTCTTGGACATTTTTTTCACAACATCACTGATTTCACCTTGGTGCTTTTTGTTTAGTTGTTCTTCAGTGTGAGCTTTCAGGGCCTTCAACAGGTCATACTGCTTATCTTTGTCTTTCATTTCTTTCTCATGCTTTTGCTCCATACATCTGTATTTTTCCTTAAATTCATTGAACTCTTCAGCTTGTTTTCTGGCTTCTTCTTCATACGTTTTCTCCAGATTTCCCATTTCTGTTTTATAGTTTATTTCCAGTTGTTTTCGTTCTTTCTCCTCCTTTTCTCTCCTGATCTGATCTTCTTCTTTTCTTTTGTTTTCATAACTTTCTTTTTCCTGTTTGTACTTTTCTTTAAGTTCTTCAGTTTTTTTGTCCTCCTCCCGTCGTCTCTGTTCTTCTTCTTCTTTTCGTTTCTCTCTTTCTTCTCTTCGTTCTTTCTCCCAGGCTTTTTGTTTTCTTTTCATCTCTTCTCTGTTCTCTTCCAGCTTTCTCTCCACAGTTTTCTTTTCCTCTTTTTCCGACTGAATTTGTTTGTCCAACTCTTCAAGTTGATTTTTTAAATCCTGCCTACATCTCTTATCCTGCTTTTCTCTCATTTCCTGTTCTTTCTTTCTCTCTACACGCTCCTTTTTCATATTTTCTTCCATCTCTTTGATTTTCAGCTCTGCATCGTGCTGGATTTTTTCTTTTTCTTTCAGTCGTTTTTCCTCCTCCTGTCGTCTCTGTTTTTCCTCTTGTTCTCGTCTCTCTCTTTCTTCTCTTAGTTGTTTCTCCCAGTTCTCGCTTCTCCATCTTATTTCTTCTCTGCTCTCTTCCAGCTTCCTATCCACACTTTTCTTTTCCTCTTTTTCTGACTGAATTTGTTTGTCCAACATTTCAAGCTGCATTTTAAAATCTTGCCTACGTCTTTCTTCCTCCTCTTCCCGTTTCCTGTTCTCTTTTTCTCTCATTTCCTGTTCTTTCTTTCTCTCTTCACGCTCCTTATTAATATTATCCTCCATCTCTTTGATTTTCAGCTCTGTTTCCTGCTGCATTTTTTCTTTCTCTTCTTTCAGTCGTTTTTCCTCCTCTTGTCGTCTCTCTTCATCTTCTCGTTTTTGTTTCTCTCTTTCTTCTCTTCGTTCTTTCTCCCAGGCTTCTTGTTTTCTCTTCATCTCGTCTCTGCTCTCTTCCAGCTTTTTGTCAATCCTTTTCTTTTCCTCTTTTTCTGACTGAATTTGTTTGTCCAATATTTCAAGTTGCATTTTAAAATCCTGCCTACGTTTTTCTTCCTCCTCTTCCCGTTTCCTGTTCTCTTTTTCTCTCATTTCCTGTTCTTTCTTCCTCTCCTCGCGCTCCTTTTTCATATTTTCTTCCATCTCCTTGAGTTTCTGGTCTCTTTCCTGCTGAAGTTTTTTCTTCTCTTCTTCCAATCTTTTTTTGATGGCTTCCTTTTCTTCCTCATGTTTTCTTTCTAGCTCCTCTCTCTCTCTCTTCATTTCTTCTTCCTTCTCCTTCAGGATTCTCT